CAGCAGCTCTGAGGGGCATCTCATGAGAAAGCTTATAACTTGAGGGAAATATTATCTTTCTTCTTCTTTTTTCTTCCTAATTAACAGACTATTTAACCCCCAAAGAAACACATTTTCTTTCTCGCGCAGCGCGAGAGAAGGTGCACTAATGCAGACATCGCCAATTTCCTCAATGGCAAAGGCGTGTGGTATTTCACTACGGTGTACTAGAATACTGGAATGTTGGGGTCGGAGCGGCTCGCGTGAGGCGTGTGGTGTAGATCGTGATAGGTTTCAACACTGACGGATAGGCATTAGGGCCAGTATGGTGGTGGTGGAGCGGGTGCACCCTGTGCAAGCGCACGTGTGGCCGCACGCGCGGAACGCAGCGACTTTTTGCTGCCCTGTCGACTGCAGCGCCGCAGTCTTATAAGCTCCTATTGCCGAGCGCGACGGTCCAAACACTACCCCGTATTCTAGTACACTGTAATTTCACGTCCCAGTTGTGTCACGTTCCTAGCCACGATGTTTACGTCGTAGAACCGTGCCGAACGTTTATACGCACGACAACAGAGAGTTTTAGAATAACGTACGCAATTTTAGCGCACGCTAGCGCTAAATTTAGCGTTTGTATTAGCGTGCGCGACGCAAGAGAGTTTTAGAATAGCGTTTCTCTGTCGCGACGCAGAAGCCCAAACAGCTCGCGCATGCGACGCCCCCAAGATACAGTCACAATTTTTATTTCACACACGAAATGCTGTAACTTTAGAAAAAAAAGTTTTTTTTTCCAAGTGTTATTGTAGATTTGTTTAAACATGAGAATGCGACGCGAGCGGTTGACCGGTCCTGTCCGCTTGCGCCGCCTCGGAAGAGAAGTCTCGTGTACTGACCTTCGTACATCGTACCTTCGCCGAGAAATGTTCGCGCGTCGCAAGGATCTAGTTGCCGTTGATCGTTGCCAAACCGAGAACAATGTCGTCCCGTATTGAAAGTCGCAGTCGCGAGGATGCTGCCGACGTCGCACTCACGACGCCGCCAACGCAGCCGCCAACATGATCCTGGAAGCCGCTATTTTTTTAACTCTGCTCGTCTTGGCTTAAGCCAACTTCTTATCACGAATCCTCTTTGGAGAAGCGCAACGACTCTTTGCGTACGCACGCTATTTCCGAGAAATATCGCACGTTAAAATTGCGCACGCAAAGCGCAAAACCTGGTTTGCGTTCGGAGCATGCACAGTGGCGACGACGCTATTCTTTGCGTACGCAAAGCTTTAGCGTGCGCTATTCTAAAACCTCCTAATGGGACAGAACGTTCCTGCGTTGCGTGGACGATTGCTTCTGCGTCGTTAAAACCAGAGAAGTGGATCGTCTTCTAAAGCACCTGAACTCGGTGGATGAGTCGCTACAATTCACGGTCGAGCGCAAAGACAAAGGTTCCCTTCCCTTTCTGAATGTACTGGTAACCAGGAGTGGCAGTGGGCTAAGCTTCTCTGGTTACAGGTAGCCAACCCCTACTGGCAGATATTTGGGGTTTCGTTCTCACCACCTCCTGTGTCATATAGCATTGGTGGCCTCTGCGCTTTTCAGGCGCGTTTTCGCCACTTGCCTCACAAAGAAGAGCCTCCAGGAGAAAATCGAGGACGTAACATGACGATGCCATTCCTGTCGCCGTCATCGGCAGCCGAGGTCGCATACAATGCGGCACACACGACGACAAGAAGCATTGTTGAACGGCAAATCTAGGCCATATATTGTGAAGGGCACAGAGATATTAATGCAAGACATTTCGAGACGACTAGCTGTCTTGACGTAACATATGCAACACGTGCATGCTCCTTACGTCTATTGCTATTCTTTATGGCATAAAAAATATTAATACCAATTTTTATATTAATCTAACGAGGAATAAGATACTGTGGTTTCAAGTAAGCAAGATGAAAGTAGTATCCTGAGATTACGAATCAATACTACTTATAATAGCTGCCTAGGGTTCTGCGACTCCAGTTTTTATTTTTCTGGAATCGGCATACTTTTTCGGTTGTTATTGTGAGTATAAACTTTTTAGTTTTTATCGATGAATATTTTTAGTCGAAAGCTTACTGCCTTTTTTGGTGAATATCTATAGACCAGTTACACTTCTTTCAAGCAGGTTTGTCGAGAATGCAGTAGATTAGGTTCATATCTGAGTTATTCGTCAAGCAGCAACACTTGCGGACATGGCAAACGTAACCTTGGTTATACATGTGCTGTGACGACAAATTCTAAATCGCAAAATTCGCAAACGTAATTCTTGGCACGCCTTTTTGTTCTTCACATGTGGAGGACTATTAAAGCTGCTTTCCTCTAACCAGATAGCACCTTGAGAGAGGCTGTTTAAACAGCTTTGGGTTTTTTTTATGCTCTCTACAATAGGAACAGATTGACATTCCATTCCTCCCAGAAGAAAAGTAAGACCAAATGGCTTGACAAACAATGAAGACGCTCCAAATGCGCCCTCTAGACGACCACAGCAAACTTGATGAACAAAGGAACGCAAATTGCATCGACGACAAATCCAAATACTTCCTAAAGTGTGCTTCCAACAGAATAGTTTGAAAACACGAAGATAAGATAGTTGACTACTCGGTCACATGCTTCTATACTCTGTCTACTCGGTCACATGCACCTGTAATGGTCTAAAGTACTGACCATTTAGGCTTAAAATCAAACTTTCGAAACTTACCTTACCACAATTTATTGGGTTTTATCGCTTGAGACTGAAAATGCCGAACCTCAGTTATGTCTTAGGTCCCCAGGACTGGCAATAATGGGGAAAAGCACTTAACTCACCTAAGGTGCCAGTGCTCTGCAAGACCGGGACGGAAGTTGATATTTTGTTTATTGGACAAAAAGGAGCATTAATGGTAATGGAATTTATTTCCTAGACACAGCATTGGAAGTAACGCTGTGCCTTGGCACTTTCATATGTCTACTTTTTGAAATGTCACTTTCGGTCTGTTTAATGGAAACTAACTAAACGTGCTAGATATGTATGTACTCATATTGAGTGCACAAGTACAGCTAAGCTCGTGCGTGCTAAGATGCGGGTGATCGAAAAATAGCGGCACATCGCTGTAAGTCGCAAACGATTGTGTGTTGCTGTCCGCCTTGACCGATTGGCCAAGAGTACATTCCTAGCATGACCCATTCTGCTCTCATCGGCGGATTTAAGAGTAGTGCCAAGGAATCATTTTGGACAATGTTGAAGTTGAGCATGCAATAACAAGTTTCCACAAATAGTCTCTAGACACCATCTTACACGTCATTCACGACTGATGATGAGTCGCTGCAATCTCAAATGTTCAGGCAAACCTTGGTTGAGATTCCGTTGTGAAAGCGCCATAAGACCCTCTACCAAAACTTTTGCCGCATGCGTCCAGGAGCTTCCACTTGAGCCAAAAATGGCGGTGCGTGGACCACTAACTAATAGGAACACTAGCGGCACGATCAAAGGGTAGGAGTACTTGAATAAGGCGTTATATCAAGTCCTTTACGTCTTACATCTCCCAGACTTACAAGACGGATTCTTATTGATCAATGACAAGTGTAGATGGGTAGCGCTACCACGGACATCTATTCCTGGAGAGTGGAAGGGGAATGGCTCAACAAGACAAGAGTCTGGTTCTCTTTCTCTTTTCACACTGTCTCACAAGTAACATGTAGAATGAAATTTTGATGGTACTGTATTTGTTGCAGTATAAAGCTTGGTTACAAGGTAATTCTTACAGCGTTGGCAGCAATCAGGTAGCAAAACATTCTAACATATTGGCCTGTGCATATGTAGGTGTTTGCTTGGAGGCATATTCACAAAACCCTTTGAGGATAGCGCTTGAATAAAGCTGCGCTTTGCTTGTTGCTTTCTATAAAACACATTGCACAGGCTAACCTCAGGTGACCCCGGATGTGAACACAGTGTAAAAATAATTCGAAAGGAAAATAAGATGGTATGTATAATGCCCAGCTTTTGATATCCTGGAGCAATGGGCTGGAGCTTGGGCTGGAAAAATTAGGAGGTGTGATATCGGGCACCGCAGCCAATTTGCAATTTGAATTCAGCTGTAAATTGGTCCATGTTGCGTGTCATCCTCTTGAGTATTTGCGTTCCGCGCTGTTGTCCGATTTCGCTATTGGGTTTCAGGGAAGGAATAGCATGTGGTTTTGATCCATGCGCTCTGTACAGGACAAATCGGCCAACTCAAGCAGAGGTTCCATTGCCTTCACGCTGAGCTCCGAATGGCTCCAGAACGGTGCTGCGACATCATTGTCGCGTGCTGTGCCCTCCACAACCTGGCCTAGAGGTACCCCTGCAGGACACCCGTGGCCGCCATCCCCGCTGACGTTCCCGTTGAGCCCGTAGCAGCCAACCGTGCTGAGAGCAACGAGGCCCGAGACCTTATTGCCAACCATTTCTTCGGCTAAGTGTAAGTGTCTGGATAGGTATCTTCTGGCTGTCCATTTCTAATGCAAGATGCTTTGTTATGACCGTGGCTATTGCTTTTACCTTTTGCTGATCAGGCTTTGCAGATAATTATGAAAAAATTATGTCAGAGAGTTCTCTAACTAGATCAAATAATTGCTTGAACTAATATTTATTGTTTTGCTACTTAAACATCAATTGGAATTTAGGAAACTGCAACAGTTAGGGGCTCAACCGTGCTGCGCAGTTAGCAAGAAGCCAACAGCTTTGAGATATTGATTAATTTTATTTTAAGCTTTTTGTTGTATGATCTAACTGGATGTAAGATTACCATAAGTTCTACCCAAAATAACCCATAAAGGACATGTGACAATGCTGAAAGTGTGCTACCTACATGACAATGACATTTCAGCAATGCATTTATCACTGTTGCACAGATGAATTTGCATAGTGCTTGCACATATTCCACATAGAGTTTCGAAATTTGGATGATAGAAATGTAAAGAATGATTGATGGACGTCCCCTTATACCTGTTGCTTCCATAGCAGCACGTGTAAATTGCAGCATGAGCGACGAAATAAGTAATGAAACAAATTTTCTTACTTCCCGCATTATTGTTGCAAAGGTTTTGATAGCTCGAAATCTGTCATTTGAGGCACTTGTAATTAGCTTGTTGGAAAAAGTGTGCTCGAAAAAAATTTCTGCCGAAGCTATTGGTTAAACGAGAGTGCAGTGCAATGTCCAACACTCCTGCAGTCGCACGCTGCAGCGCAACTGCTTGTTACTGCTTTGGTCTCCTCTCCATCAACTCCTGAACTCTCGCAGAGCTACAAGCATAGGCACACACGGGCTCTCTTAAACTAATAGATTTTGAATTTGATTTCCGGAGTTCATAACAATGCACTTCTCAAACTTCTAACTAACGAGTCATGGCCAGCGACGACCTTCTTTTCGTCAACTCATCGTCCCCTCGAGCCACCGGATTTTCCAGAAACGTTTCTGTGTCATCTTGAAGACGGACAGATGGCCAGGCATCGAGGGACGTTTCCGGATCCGCTGCACCGTTGCCATAAAAGGGAGCTACTTCGCCTTCAGCCGCTGGGGCACGACACTCTTTTCGGCCCATACTCACGCTGCTCCATGTACCAGGTTAGTTATTTAAATCATTCAAAATGTTGCCGAACGAGCAATGTAATGCTTCTCAGAGTGTCGTGCCCAATCGACAAACGTGTGCTTTGTAGATACATGCATTTTGCTGGCTCTTGGGTGATTGCTACATTGATGTCTTTGTGCTGTGAACTATCGTTTTTTGAGACCTTGTTGCTTTTGTCGGGAGACGTGGAGCTAAGCCCCGGTCCAATGACTAAGGCACAGATTGAACAGCTTGGGAAAATTGAGACCATTTTGTTGGAATTGCAATCTGGTCAAATGACTGTTTTGGGAAAGTTAGCTGGTATTGAGGCAAAACAAGCTGATCTTGAGAGGAAGTTTGATACCATAAGCTTGAAAACTAATGATATTGAAAAACGTGTTTTGCAGATTGAAGGAAGTGGCAGGAAATTAGAAGCAAAATTAGATGATCTTGAAAACAGAAGCAGGAGGACAAATTTGGTATTTTTCGGAGTTCCCGACAACTCTCGCAGTGAAACGTGGGAAGAATCGGAAAGGCTGATCACAAAAATCTTCAAAAACGTGTTATCGCTCGATGTTTTAATTGAAAGAGCCCACCGATTGGGGAAACACAAAGATGGGAAAAACAGACCAATTGTAGTCAACTTCCCGGGTTGGAAGGTCAAAGAGTCTGTGTGGCGAAGTGCTTTTAAATTCAAGAATACTTCATTCAGTGTCTCCGAGGATTTTAGTCTTGCAGTCCAAGAAAAGAGGCGTCAACTTTGGAATTATGCGAAGGAGAAAAGGCAGAACAAAGAGAACAAGGTTCATTTCAACCACGATAAACTGGTTATCAATGGACAGACGTTTATCTGGGACAGCAAAACGAGACAACCTGTTTTATATCGGGCGCCTGGCCAACCAAGAGAACACGAATGACGGGTCGGAAAGCCTAAAGATGGCCCAAGCAATCATGAGGCTACAGCTACAAAACAGGCGCCTTCAGTACTATTGGTAAATTGCCGTAGCATCAAAAATAAAGTAGACGAGTTTGCACTTTTGTTGGAGACCCTTAAACCTGAAGTGTTTATGGGGACGGAGTCTTGGTTAGATGATACTGTTAGTGACGCTGAGGTATTTCCGGCGGGTTTTACAGTTTATCGCAGAGACAGACATCGGCACGGTGGGGGAGTTTTTCTACTAATTTCTAATAGATGGACTAGTCGTGAACTGGTTTTCGAAAATGCTCCCGAGTCTGTCTGGTGTCGGGTCTTTTTCCCAAGGGGAACTGCTCTCGTGTTCGGGACCTTCTACCGCCCCCCCTGATAACAGTGAAACTTCAATTTGTTTGCTCTGTGACATGTTATCAATGATTCCTGACAGTGTTTTTCTAGGTGGTGATTTTAATCTGCCAGATTTTAACTGGTCTACTGAAACAACAGAATGTATTGTTAAATCACGCTTTAACACTGTGTTTACAGAGGTATTGGGCACTTTCGGCTTCAATCAATATGTGCAGCAGCCGACGAGGTTGAACGCCATTCTAGACTTGGTCTTATGTAATGACCCTAATATTGTAGCTCAGGTCGGGGTGTATCCTGGAATAAGTGACCATAGTGTGGTTGTTGCAACGCTAAATGTATCTGGAGCACCCGAGAGGGCACAACTTCCACGCAAGGTATTCATGTATGAGAGAGGAAACTTTGACGCCATCGGCACTGAATTGGACAGCTATTTTTCAACCTTTTTATGCTTTGCAGAATCGCACTGTCTAGAAGATCTGTGGAGCATCTTTCATAATAAGATAACAAACTTAATCGACACTTTTGTACCATCGAGGATTATTCGACAAAAACGAAAACAAAAACCATGGTTTAATATTGAAATTCGTAAACTCGTAAGAAGAGCGCGGTGTGCATATAGAAGGGTTTCCAGAGATGGCTGTCCAATAAACCTGCAAAGGCTAAAGGAAATTAATTACATATTAAAGTTATCTATAAGAAAAGCAAAGAAGTTATCTTTCTCCCGGCTAAACGATGATCTTAAGCGAAATCCCAAAGTGTTCTGGAATTACGTTAAAACAAGTAGAAAAGACGATATTTCTATCCCATACTTAAATGTTAACAATACAATAATCAAGAGTGATGCTGAGAAGGCAGAATGTTTTAATTCTTACTTCAAATCAGTATTTTCTCAAGAAACAACCAGCGATGAATCACCAGTATCTGTTATTTCTGGTAACACAATGGCAGATATTGAAATTGATGTTAACGGTATTACTTGCCTCTTGCGTGAAATGAATACCTCGAAGGCAACCGGACCTGATGGATTACCATCGGTTGTTCTTTGTAAGTGTCGAGATATTATAGCCCAGTATTTATGCCTCATGTTTAAAATTTCCCTTGAAACTGGGGCAGTTCCACACGATTGGAAGGTAGCAAATGTTATTCCTGTTTTCAAGTCAGGGAATAAAAAACTTGTAGAAAATTATAGGCCTATATCTTTGACGTCAATTAGTTGCAAATTGTTGGAACATATTATATATAGTGAAGTTTTTGATTAGCTGGAATCCTGTAAATTTCTTGCCCCTTCCCAGCATGGCTTTCGCAGAGGGTGTTCATGTAACACACAACTGGCAGAATTTCAACATTACATTTCAAAATCACTTGACAGCAATACTAATGTAGATGCAATTTTCCTTGATTTTCGTAAAGCCTTTGATACTGTACCACACCACCTACTACTGAAGAAATTAGCATCTTTAAATATAACTAACAATATTCAAAAGAGGATAAAAAATTACTTAAGTGGCCGAGAGCAGTGCGTGGTTTTAAATGGTAGCAAGTCATTACCTATAACTGTGAGTTCAGGAGTACCCCAAGGCAGTGTCTTGGGACCATTATTGTTCTTAATTTATATTAATGATATTGTAACTGACATTCAATCGCCGATTAAGTTGTTTGCGGACGATTGCGTTGTTTATAGACAAATATATTCAACAATGGACATAGAAATATTGCAAAGCGACCTAGATAAAATAGAACACTGGTGTGATAAGTGGAAAATGAGTTTAAATATTGGAAAATGTAATTATCTCAGCTTCACAAAAAATGTATCAAGGTCTCCCGCCAGCTATATCATTAAAAATGCAATAACCCGCAGAGTAAGCGACTGTAAATACTTAGGAGTTAATTTCACCCAATCACTTAAATGGCACAATCATATTGACTATACAATAGCAAAGGCAAGCAAAATGTTATATTTTATCCGGAGGAATTTTAAGGGCGCTTCAACAGAGGTGAAAGAAACTCTTTATATTTTGCATGTTAGGTCAATACTCGACTATGCATGCATCATTTGGGACCCATACCAAGATTATCTTATCGAAAAATTAGAAAAGGTACAGAATCAAGCGGCACAATTTGTCAGCAATAACTATAACACTTATGCAAGTATCTCTGAATTAAAAGCCATGCTGGGATGGGAATCATTAAACACTAGAAGGTATAAGTTAAGGTTGAAGTTTTTTCATCGGCTTTATTATAATGAAACTGGCATTGATAGAAATGAGTATTTGTATAAACCAAGTTACATGTCAGCGCGGTTCGATAACTCTGAAAAGGTTTTTGAGTACTGTTATAAAACAAACAAGTTTGGTAGTTCTTTTTTTGTTCAAACAATCAAAGACTGGAACCTGCTGCAACAGGAGCTGGTCAGTATCTCAGGCAACGATGTATTTTTTTCTTGTTTGTGAAAATCACTGTTATTTGTTATTTCGTGATCCCCCCCCCCCCCCCCTACGATAATGCCCACGAGGCGATGTAGGTATTCTGTAAATAAATAAATAAATAATGACCCGAGGGATGCTTCTTCAAATTTGTGCACTTCTTCGCGCTCTCTGGAGCTCTCTTTTTATACTGTCATTATTTTTTGTAATACATTTCCAACATCGACGGATGCTTTATGAGAAGTGCTGAAGTCAGCCCTATAACAGACTTTGTGTGCAAAGTTTATAATGAGGGGTTCAACTGAAGAAGACAGTTATTTTCCTATTCAATATCTACAAACTGATACTTTTTAATGGGTACAGGAGCATGAATAGGAGAGTATAGTGAAACAATGTCCATTTGATACCAGTTTCAAAGCTATCAGTACAAATATATATACTACCCCATAGAATGTTCATTTTGCACTGCATACTCATGGTTACTAGCTCATAGGATTTACATAGTGTACGCTTCTGAGTGTTGAGTCATAACACCTTTCACAGGGTCTTCTAACCTGCAAAGCTTTTCTCTTATTTTTCACAAACCTCCTAGGGTTCATATTTTCTTCATCCTGGCTGGCATGATAACATCATTTGCAAAACATTTATTTTTATTAGGGCATTGCCCAGAGAGGAGCTTTATTCAACATACTACACTCTCGTTAATTCAAACTCAAGATAGTCACATATTTTAGTTGGAATTATCAGAAATACATCTAAATATGATACTAGACAACATTATGATTTGTTACATGGATAGCGACACATACAAAGCAGATTTTGGACAGTTTCCTCTACATAGCACAGTAGCTTGCTTATAGTTAAAACTTAACTATAAGCAAGTACAGGCATAACACATTTGTGAAAGAACTTTGACGTTAAGTTTATTCATCCGGCAAAAAAGTCGTCAATTATGGACTGTTTATAATCAGCACATGAGTTCTCAAGACAAAATTTTAAATGCCAGCCAACGCAAGTAGCTCTTTACGGGACTTTTCCTTTGCAGACAGAAACTTCCGGAGCTGAGTGATGTGCTCAAACACCTCTGCGGCTGTGACAGTTGGTAGTGGGTCATCCCTTTCTTCGTCGTCATCTTCCCTGTCACTGCTGCACTGTGCTGGCATTACTTTCCGTACTATGACCTCTAATGAGTCATCATGACAAACACACACATCGTCGTCAAGACAAATATATTTCGCCTGCACGGCGTTCACATTACGTGCTTCAAGGCCAGAAAGCATGACGCCAGTGAGCTCTGCCTCATCGTCGTTGTCGTCTTGGTCATCATTGCTGTCTTGAAGCACATAATGTCAACGCCGTTTTCCGTTAATGTGTGCCCGCTTCAGCTCCCTTGACTGCGCTTCTTTCCGAGCACTGGTGCACTGCGAAGAAGCAACACTCGCAAAAGCAAGCTCCGCGGGTATTGCTTTTCTGCGGTGCACCGGTACTCGGAAAGAAGCGCACTCAACAGGGCCGCGAGAACAAAAATGTATGAATTAAGCGAAAACGCCGTTCGAATTAAGTGGCTTATAAATACATAAAAAAACATAGCGGGACAACCAAAATTTTTAAATCTGTTTGAATTAACTGGAAGTACGAAATTTCCGAGTTCGAATTATCGCGAGCCTACGTACAAGCAGCAAGTAGATTTCAGCTGCAAGAAAATGTATTTCCATCAATACTTAAAGAACAAGGTAAGTGGTGACGATTCAAAGTAATAAGAGTTGAAGACCCGGGGCCCCAAAAAGTGACACACGCAACAAAATTATGTAGTGTTGTGTTTGATCCCTTTTTCTGTTCCTGAGTTTCGGGATATTCTTAGTATGAACTTTTTCGTACATAAGCAACACACAGTCCATAGGTCGCAGGAGCATATCGAGGCAGAAAGAGCCTTTATCTTAAAACCAGAAAGAATATTTGCAGATGCAAGTCAGCAAGTGTCTGTGGTCCACTCATCGATTATTCGGACCTTTTCTTAAAACACAGAAACTCGACCTGTGTCTTCTGCCGGGAGGCTAATCGTCTTGGCGACCTCCTCTCTTGAACTGTGACGGGGAACCGCGTTATGAAAGGGAAACATGTGAAGGGATATAGGAAAGAAGGAATTATACATCTACTTTTGAGCTTAACCCATATTTTTATTTTAGGTATCCATGTAAATTATGTGCCACCTACGGGGCGTCGAAAGCCTGGGTGCCATACTGCCAGTATGATATTCTGTTGCTTACTTAACAACAGCGTAAAATATTGCAATCAGAACAACCACGCTGGTCTAGTGTGCGGATAGTCAACGTCATAGAAAAGATTGTGCGTAAGCTTCCCTTGTAGATAGCCTGCGTAAAATAAATGAACTGTCAAACATACCGTGTTTGCACGATTCTAACGTGCCCCCGATACTTACATGCAGGCAAATTTAGCTCTCAGATATCGAAAAATTTAATTGCCGCCGATTCTACCACGCAGGTAAAGTAATGCACTTTGAACACCCATACCTCATAAAACCAATTTTTGGAAACGCACGGCAATACACAAAAACAAATACCGCGCACAAGTCGCTGCTGTCGGAATCTGGCAATTGGTCTTCGCTGTCCACAGACTGCAGAAGGTCATCCTTGCTTTCCTCTAAAGCGTTTGAGGTGCCGTGCTTCTTGCGCTTGAACGAGTGCGCGACCATTGCCTATGAGAGGGATGTTTTAGCACGCGGCTCTTAGGCGCCCGTTTCCGGCTTGAGCGGCGTCGCCGTTGCCGTCGGCGTTGCCGACGGCGTAACCGCCGGTGCATGATGGGTTAATTTCCCCGCTAAATATAGCGGAAAAATTTCTCCGCTAAATCTAGCGGAAAAATTTACCCGCTAAATCTAGCGGAAAATTTTCCCCGCTAAATCTAGCGAAAAACTTTCCCCGCTAAATCTAGCGAAAAAATTTCCCCGCTAAATCTAGCGGAAAAATTTGCCCGCTGAATCTGGCGGAAACATTTGTCCGCTAAATCCCGCGGAAAAAATTACCCGCTAAATATGGCGGAAAAATTTCCCCGCTAAATCTAGCGAAAAACTTTCCCCGCTGAATATAGTAGAAAAATTTCCCCGCTGAATCTAGCGGAAAATTTTGTTCGCTAAACCTAGCGGAAAAAATTTTCTGCGGGGTCATGTGACCTGGGGGTCACGTGACACTCCCCCCAAGGTCACGTGACTCCCCTCTCCCTCAGTACCCTTCCCTACTCCTCCTCAAAGCTGCGCTCTAATTCGGCGTTACAGAGAGTTGTAAACATCTTTCACTTTGCTTTCATACAACATTTCGCGACGTCATTGGGTCGCTGGGATTGCGAGGCCACGCGGTGTCGCTCCGTGGTTATCGTTTCTCGTCATTGTGATGACATAAAGGCGAAAGAACGCGCGATACGGATACCAAAATGGCTAATGTAGACTAACGGTCACAAAGGCGATTGGGCTAGCTGCCTTGCGTTTTTCTTTTGAGTTATGGTTTCAATTGTAAGTGCATCGAATTTTTAGCACCGATTTTGGCAAAAAAAATGTGGGCGTTATAATCATGCAAACAAGTATGTAGGTCAGAAAAAAACGCAAAATATGTATGCAACACAGCGACAAACAATGCAAGCAGCTCATTACATGAGTTAATCTTGTCCTAATTGTCTTTTTATCAGTTCAATTTGCAGCTGTGCTCGGGTGGTTTCAAGTCTAATGAGTTCTCTTTGCTCCCTCAGCACTTCCTCCCCTAAAGCATAGAAACTCCGTGCAGCATCTGCTGCAGCGAGGGTTGCATTTGCAGCCTGTGTGGCCCCATTTGTGTACTTTCTCTCAAGGAGTACATTCTCATGCTCCAGATCTTGCTGTCGCTCGGCCCTTCTCTGGTACTGCTGTGCAGCCTCACGGGTCCAGCGCAGGTTGTGCTGCACAACAGGAGAGGCCAGTGTTCTCTGTGTTGCGTCGTCTTCATCTGTACTGCTGCCAGATGACAAGGGCGGCGGCGTCGTGACCCTTTCCGTGCAGCTGCTGTTGTGACACACGCATGACCAGGAAATTGTTTGAGGTTAAAGGGATATTACAACGAAATTTCGGGTTTCATTTTTTGGTCTATATGTGTTCGAAGGAGCAGTATCACATCGAACGCAACAATATCTTGTTAAAAAAAGTCACGAAAAGGAATTTTAAAACGAATTAAGCAATTGGCAAAGAGCACCAGGTGGATGTCGCTAACGCCTCGTTTGTTGTTGGTTGTTGTTGGTTTTTATTTGCATCAAATACAGAGTACATGATACTGGAGGCTTGTGGAAAAAGCGGTCACAAGACCAGCTTGACAAAGCCACAGGCCCCCACATTGGCATTTGCAGCACTAAAAAGAAAATTATCAACATACCATACAGACTACAGCAATAACAGAAAAAGCGAGATAAACAGAATAAAGAGAAGCAACAATGTTCACACTCAAATTACGTAACAACCACACAATTTTAGGATATCTTGAAAAGCATTATCAAGAGAAAAAAAAATATTATTTACATGCACAACTAGTTTCACGTTTAATAATATTACACAGCATTTTTTACATAAGGAAAGTCGACTCAGGGCTGAAATAACGACGCAATGCTTTAAACGTAATATCTAAAAGCTCGACATTTTCGGCAGCTAATCTATTTAGTAACCTTGGCAGTTTGTTTTTCAACGTATCTTGCCCGTAGATTGTTCTGTAAGTGCTAACATTCCAAGGCTCACCATGGCGCGTTGTATAGGCGGTAGTATTGCTTTGTAAGTTAGCTAGTCCTTTTAAAAACGATGTTTTAGTTTTTACCTCTTGTTTAAAAGTTTTAGAGAGCCGATAATCGTACATTTTATGAATCGGCAATACATTATATTTTACGAACAACTCATGCGTGTGAAAGTAAGACGGAATATTTTCAACAACTCTTAGGAACCGTTTTTGTAAGACATGTGTTTTATGTAGATTTGCTTGAGTTGTGGATGCCCAGACTAAGTGGCAGTAGTTAAGCCTAGATGAAAACAAACTATTATAAATTAAAATCATAATATTTCGTGGCAGAATGTGCCGATTACGATAAACAAGTCCGACTATTTGGGACAGCTTAGCAACTACGGAATCAATATGTGTATCCCACGACAAAGTTTCTTGAAAAACAACCCCTAGTGCTTTAAAACTAGAAACAACTGCAATGGGTGTCGAATGTAGCATTATTGGTCGATTTAACATGACACTTTTATTTTTACTACGAAATAATACGGCTTTAGTTTTGTTTATATTTATCTTTAAGCTATTTTGGCACGTCCATTCGTCTAGTTTTTGTAACGTCGAATTCGCTTTATCGACTATCTCATTATATACATTTCCGGTTATAAATATGCTGGTATCATCAGCGTAAATAATCATATTAACATCTGATCCAACAGAGACGATGTCATTTACATACATATTAAAAAGAAAAGGACCCAGAATACTCCCCTGTGGTACACCGCAAGAAACAGGAAGTGGATCGGAGAAATGATCGTCTATACGGACTGTTTGTAAACGATGAAGTAGATAAGAGGTGATTAAGGATGCAGCCTTCCCTCTGAAACCATAACGTTGAAGTTTTTGAACAAGCAATGTATGATTTACATGATCAAATGCTTTAGTTAAATCTACAAAGATCCCAAGAACCAATTTTCCTTCCTCGAGTGCGGTCAAGATTAGTTCTTTCTGCGCGAGCAGTGCGGACTCTGTACCGAGTCCTTTACGGAAACCAAATTGAGATTCATTTAAAAGGTTATGCTTCTGCTCAAAGTCGATAAAACGGTTTAAAATTATTCTTTCTAACGCTTTTGAAAAAATTGGAAGTATCGACACAGGACGGTAGTTTCCCATGTCATTTTTATCGCCTTTCTTATACAACACATTTATATGGGCAACTTGCATTCTCCGAGGAAAAACAGCTTGACTAAGGCAAAGGTTAAATATATGAGTTATGTAAGGGGCAAGAAGTTCAACAGCGTGCTTAATTGGTTTTATCTGAAATCCATCAGCGTCTTTAGCCTTGCTGTTGCTTAAATTTATAATTGTAGTAATAACTTCTTGTTCATTTACAGGGTTAAGAAAAATAGAATTCGGGTTGGGCGGAATGTTCACGAGGTTACAGTTCGTTACGGTTTTATTGACAATATTCACGAAATATTTGTTAAAAGCATCTGCAAGTGCTTTTCCAAATAACTCACCATCATCTGTGATTATCTTGTTGACTTTGTCGGGGGAAACATTGTGCTTTAAGACGGCATTTAATCTTTTCCACATTAGTTCTGAGCACCCTGCCGCGGAAATGAATTGATTTGCGAAGTAATCGCGTCTTGCCTTTTTCAGTTCTTTATCTAGGCGATTGCGACAAGTTTTAAACTTACGTAATATTTCTTGGTCTTTAGTTTTAATAAATTGACTGTAGAGCTTGTTTTTTTCATCAATACTTGCGAGAAGCTCGGAGTTAACCCATGGCTTACGAATCTTTCTGCTTTTCCTAATACGTACATAAGGAAAACTTTCTGCATATATCGGTTTTAAAATTCTGAGAAATTCATCATAGGCATCATTTGCGTCATTACTGTTCAGTACTATTTCCCAAGCTGTTTGTGCAATTTTATCACAAAAGATGGTCAGGTTTTTTTCTGTTATTTTTTGTACTGGGTATGCCGACTGCAATATTTTATTTTTTACATGCCCCTTCGTACAGATAAATATTGGTAGATGATCACTTAGGTCACAGGCAAACACCCCTGCTTTTACTTGGCTCGAGCTTATATTTGTTAAAAACAGATCAATTAGAGACGAAGAGTGCTCAGTCACTCTTGTGGGTAGCATAATGAAATTCCGCAAATTATGCGTCATTAGTAAAATATCTAGTTTAGACCTCGTTGAATCACTTTTTAGCATATTAATATTCATATCCCCGCCGCAGATGAAATTGAAACGATTTTGTGTAATAAAGTCAAAAATTGATTCTAAGCAATCTAAGAATGTATCTATGGTACCACTGGGAGGGCGGTAACAAACGGCAATTACCGTGTTTTGTATTTGAATTGACAAAAGTTCACAATCACTCGTATTTACAGTAAAGTCTGACAATATTTCACAGTTATATTCTTTTTTGACTAAAATGCACACTCCACCGCCGCGGCTACTAGGGCGATTTAAATAAAAGGTATTATACGATGGGAGACGAAATACATTTGTTTCGTCAGTTGACCATGTCTCGGTTAGCAATATTGCATCAAATTGCAACCCAAAATTATCAAATAATAGACAAAGATCGGACTCTTTATTTTTAATTGAGCGTATATTCGAGTGAAAACATTTAAACGACCGCAAGAACGGTTTTCCTAGATGCCTTTCAAAAGAATTCGGAAGTAAGTATGATTCACAGGCTGTACTTGCCATAGATAGTCGATTGCTCATTTTTTATCGAAGCTTATCTAGGTCGGCAATATTAGAGATTACCACCGCGCGGCTTCCGTCAGACTTGCGCACAAGCACTCGGCCATTGCTGTGCCACGCGTATTTATAATTGTTCCTTTTGGCCCAGGCTTTCGTTTCGAAAAGTAGAGAACGGGATCGTCTTGTCAAGTTTTCAAGTAGAAACAGAGTGTCATTCAAATCACGTAACTTCTTTCTGCTTTCCCACCATCTATCTCTATCAGCCTGTCTTGCAAAGCGGCAGATTACGCCCGGCGTTTTATCTTTCCTTGAAGGCAGACGGTGAATGGACACCACGTCCATATCAGAAAGCTGCGGCAGTTCGAGCTGTGTGGCAAGTACGTTTAGTTTGCTCAGCAAATTTTCCTTTTCGGTTACCTGTATTCCGTGAAACTCGAGGTTAAGGCGCCGGCTTCTCCATTCAAGGTTATCGATTTCGCATTGCATCTGATTTACTTCAACGTCCTGCGCCTCAAGCTTTTCCATTCTGCGTTTTAGGTCTTTGATGTCCTTTTCATTTTGTTCTGTTCGTTCCCGCAGTTCATCGTACTGCTCGCTCCAAAATTGCATTGAATCTTCAATGCCCTCAACTACTTCTCTGAGCGGTAAGAGCTGGTCAAGTTTCTCATTGATCACCCTTAGCATTTGTCGCACATCATGCGTTTCCAAGTCGTCACTCAGTGTAGGATCCCGAGCTTGTGCACAGGATTTTAAACGACGACAGGCTGGGCAGCGCCAAGCTAAACGATACGCTTCGCCCTTCGTTTTGATTGTTTTGTCAGAAATTCCAGAACATTTTCCCGTGTGGTAGTTACCATCACAGTCGCTGCATGCAATTTTCGCATCGGACGATACGAATTGTTTTTCACAAGTTTTACACTGACCATTGGAACTCATGGCTACACCTTGGCAGCAGCAGCAGCAGCAGCGGCATAAAACGTGGTACTAGGGAATAAAAGAACACCAACCTGAAAGATACAGGGGACTAGTTTGGTCGTGCCTCTTCAATGCTGCCGCTGCTGCCAATGTGAAGGAAAGGCTCTGCTGAGGCGCCTTTTGTAGCTTCAGCTTGGTCGACGGAAGCGCTTGATGTTAGCAGTGGCGACGTCACGGTCGACCGAGCCTTGTCTGGAGTAGGCAGGCTCGTAGCTCCGAAGTCAGCAGATTCGAAGTTCAAATCACGGCAGTGTTGTCCCGGCAGCGCTCCTGTTATCTGAAAGATACAGGGGACTAGTTTGGTCGTGCCTCTTCAATGCTGCCGCTGCTGCCAATGTGAAGGAAAGGCTCTGCTGAGGCGCCTTTTGTAGCTTCAGCTTGGTCGACGGAAGCGCTTGATGTTAGCAGTGGCGACGTCACGGTCGACCGAGCCTTGTCTGGAGTAGGCAGGCTCGTAGCTCCGAAGTCAGCAGATTCGAAGTTCAAATCGCGGCAGTGTTGTCCCGGCAGCGCTCCTGTTATCTGAAAGATACAGGGGACTAGTTTGGTCGTGCCTCTTCAATGCTGCCGCTGCTGCCAATGTGAAGGAAAGGCTCTGCTGAGGCGCCTTTTGTAGCTTCAGCTTGGTCGACGGAAGCGCTTGATGTTAGCAGTGGCGACGTCACGGTCGACCGAGCCTTGTCTGGAGTAGGCAGGCTCGTAGCTCCGAAGTCAGCAGATTCGAAGTTCAAATCACGGCAGTGTTGTCCCGGCAGCGCTCCTGTTATCTGAAAGATACAGGGGACTAGTTTGGTCGTGCCTCTTCAATGCTGCCGCTGCTGCCAATGCCCATCTAGGAACCTTGACAGCTATTGACGGTAACTGTCTCGCCTCCGGCTACCATGATAGAAGAGGGGAAGGAGGAACTCTCCTCTTCCAAAAGAATTATTTTTGTATATCCCAGAGGCTGCTATTGTCCCCCTACAAGATTATAAAAGATTAACCCGTCACTCAAAATTCGTACAAAAGGAGCCGCTTTGGTGGCTGGAACGACTAAGCCACCCTCTCGACGTCAGCCTCGTCGCAGCTTTGCTCGTCCCGACACAACTACGTCACGATTGCGTTGGGTGTCACATGCTCTCCGCTGGCTGTTCTCCGAGCGCTTGTCTGAGTGGGCCGTTTGTAACGAAAACTATAGCCACCAGGTTCAAAATACAAACGTGCGATTGTCATTTAGGGATATTGTGGATTACATTCAACCTATTTTTGAACACGACGGGTATATTTTTGAATTTCGTTGAAGTATCCCTTTAACGCATAAGTCTTTACAACAATTATCAGCAAACTTAAAATGCCAAGTCACTGACTGGCTGTGGATGGCAGCCCGAGGCAGGAGGTGCTCGGGACGTGTTCCAAGCATGCGCAGTGAGAAAAATGGCAGCTCACAGAGGGCTATTGTTGGGCAGGAGTGAACTTGTAAATTTCAGCATAACTTGGCAAATTGCAAGGGCTACAGCTCCAGAGAGCTGCTCAGAGCCTTGAAGCAAAGGATTGTGGCTAGACACCATACTCGTGTAGGTACCTCCTCCGTGACATGATTCTCTGCGTCCTCTATCTCTCTAAGTGATGCGTGAGGGCTGCAGTGCATGACATTTTTGACGTCACCCTGGATCAGGATACATCAATGTGTGAGAAAACTGAGTGCAACTGAGGCAACCTTAATGCAGATGTGACAGTAACACTTGTCATAATTTTACCACATACGTTGGTGGTACAACAGACTGCAGTGCCTAACCCCACAACTTCGTTTCATTGGCGGTTGGTAGAGTCGCCATATAGACATTTGTACAAGATTTAGAACAAGTAGATGTGGCACACTCACACCAACCGTCATCTGTGATTATTGCGTACTCAAGCACTGTCCGGCTAACTGGGACATTGATACTTTTTCAGATTTTCTTGGCACAGATCAGCATCGAATAAGTCATTGTTGCATTCTCAACTTAATCTCATAAAAGTTACCAAAAAAGAATGGATTTTCGCTACGTTAGCAGACATGTACGAAGGTCATGCAAAAACATTGCCACTGACAGTGGGAAAATTTGGGTATTGAGTGACCTGACTTTGAAGAAAATAGGTGATCTCAACTTGAGAGAGAGAAAGACTACCATAGCTTTGTTGATTATGATGTAAATATTTCTTTGCAATTTTGTGGTACAAATAGTTTAAAACTGTGAGTTTTACTGAATTTACCCTAATAAATGGTTTCATTGGCACTTTTTCAGCAGAGCAGAAATGGCTAAATATGTGAAGGTGGTGTCCTTGTGATGTGTTCTGTTCTCTACTAAACAGGTTTTGACTCGGGCTCCTAACAATGTCGTTTTGCTTCATGAAGTTGGTCTCTATGTAAGGGTACGCAGCAGAAGTGTTATACAACTGACATGTCCACTTTGAGATGGAAAACCAATATATTCTTTTATGACAATCCAAACTGTTCCCTCTGCTCATCAATGTTTTCTAGGAGCATGCCAACACTTGGTGACTTTTGATATGCCTTGTGTCTGTGCTCAGTTTCATACTTATCATCAGTGACAGCAGAACATCCCTATCATCAGTTTCATAACTATCATCTTGTGGAAGTACTCATAATGTGATGAGCAGAACAGAAAAAGAATGCACCTTCAGCGCGTGCTCATTCTCTTCTGCTGCTTGTGCATCCTTGTGCTGTCAGGACTAGTAAGCTCTAACTGGGTGCAGAGCTTCCACTGTACTATCGCCTCCATTGTCACAGTCTACATACAGTGTGCAGCGATATCAAAATTGTAGGCGTAAGGGTGGGCCATTCAATTAGCACAAGGGAGGTGATCGACGAAGCCACGTGCTCATACCTGCAACTTTAGTATTGCAGTGTACAAACTATAAACTGTAGCATAGAATACACAGCATGGCCTATAAAAGTGTTACCTACTTTTCGGTGTCACCGATGATGACGTCAATCCCACAGATAGTCGGGGAATCGTCCCCGATCACATTCAAAACAGTCTCGACAAGTGGTGTCAGCTGATGGGGGTTGGGACCAGCACCTATGAATTGAAGTACACTTATTTTATTTACTAGGATGTAAGCGCAATCAAAGGTGGGGGAGGGGAGGCAGCGTGTTCATTATTCAACATAGTATCAATGTGCGCATGAACAGAAAACGCGTAAACATGTAATTGCCAATAATGATCAGATTTTTTTCTTACCTTCGTTCTTTTTTTACCCTCAGGTTCCTATTATCCGGTCTCGGGTAATATGTGATGTTGGGCAATCTATTTCTCTTTTTTTTTTATTTGACAGCAAACTCACTGTTGCCAGCTATCGGCTAGCCCTGGCCCATTATGTGCCTGAATCGGTTGCGTCGGAAGTGTTTGAAACGTGGGGGGCGACAAGGCCACTAAGCTTAACCCCGCCCCCTTTTGCAGCATTGTTTACCGCAGCTGTCTGAAATTTCAAAGGGGGGGGGGGGGGGAGGAAGGGAAAGGGTGTCTGAAGCCCCCCCGCCCTTGTTCCCACGCTACTTGCCTACATACACGTTTCTTCTGTGTTTAGTTGAAAAATAGTGTCTACATTGTTTACAGTGGTAAAGACGACGTTTTTGGCAAGCAAAATTTGGACATTAATTTTGAGAAATTACGCAGGCCCACTGCGTGGAACAGGATCCAAGGTGCTTTGGGACTATTTCTGTGTTAGTGCCACTGTCTTGAAACTTGTGCGAGGACGAGCTAATTAAGGCTGCGGTCCCACGGCAGCCATCTTGAACAAGGCGTTAGTTCAACCAATAGATGGCAACACGCACCCGTGGGGTGTAAAGCCCCTCGATATGTTCGCGTTTGTCGTGCAAGTAGCGTCAAATGCGCAAGTGCACGAGGCCCGTGTCTCGAGCGGCCCTTGGAAGCGAATGGCGTTGCAGCACTGAAATGAGCAGCCCTTGGAAGCGAATGGCGGCGGAGCACCCGCTCGTGGCACGTTTCTCACGCGGTCCCACAACAATGGTTGGCGGTACTTGTAAAAACGCCTTTATCAAGGGGCTTTAGTGGGGTGACCGAAACACAGTGGGATGGCTCGGGCACCATCACGTTCCCCTCGTGGCCTTGCTCGCGCCGCTGCCAGCTGTGCTCAGCTAGCTCAAGTAGCGTGGCCCAGCAAACGCATGTATGCGGAGATGCGGTTCGGCGGTTGTAACGGGCTTTCGCAACAAATCTTACCAAGAAGGAATCAAATGGTGATTGACGTGTTAATATTTTATCAATGAAAATTTCTTCTGCAGGAATGCACGCTCAGTAGACTCAATCTTCCAAGACACCAGTGGAAGCGGACGTGAAGTCGCGATTTACGGTGCTTACCTCACCATTTTAACGACGACTAAAATAACGTCATGAAATATTGTGTGTCACGGGGTCCGGAAGTTGTTCTAAAGGTTGTTACATTATAGTTCCCAGAAAACAAACGCCGTTGCAATATTTTCGGAAGTACCGACACACATAAAGTTGTAAGTACAGCTTAGGAGGAATATGATGAAAACCATCAGAAGAAATAGGAAGACGTTTATTTGCAATGATGACGCTATGAATGAACGGCATTTAGCGACGGCAAGTTATGAGCGTTCGGGAACTTATAAGTTCACGTGATTGCTAACTATGGACATGCGTTTTTGTCGGGAGATGGTGTTGCGGTGATGACCTGATATCGGACGACTCGTGGCAGACGAACAAGCAAGTTTTTTCTCAACGAAGGGTAAGTGTCCAGTGTCAAGCACAACACGTGGCTACCGACGTTGTCGACGTTTCGAACACTTACCGCTTTCGACAAAAGTCCTGGCACCTGGGCTAACTTTCTGGAAAGACTCGAAGTCTTCCTTGAGTCCAGCGCCATCATGAACAGCAACTGAAAACGATCCACTATTCAATCGGTGGGCGGCGAAACGTATCCGCATCTGCGGAGTCATGGACGATGCGTACTCTAAGTGGCTGGAAGTTTACACGATGCCTGCCACGACGTCCAAACACGTCATTGGCGTTCTGCGGTCTCTTTTACCTACTTTTGCCCTACCGAAAATACTTTTCTCTGATAACGCGCCAAATCTTGCTATAAACAAAATAAACAAGTTTTTGAAGAAAAAAAAAAACGGCATCAGGCATCACATTAGTGCACCATACCATCCTGCAACTAACGGGCATGCAGAACAGATGGTGTGCGAAACAAAAAAAAAGCCCTTTTGAAGCTTACGGAAGAAGCAGTTCAGTGAAGAATCGCCAGGTTGTTGTTCCAGCAGCACACGACGGTCTCATCTTACACGGTAAAAACACCCGCCGAAGCAATATTCAGCGGACGAAGAGCCACACCCCTCGATCTCATGATACCATGGCTTACGAACGAAGATCGAGAGATTCCCAGATCGGGAGTAATTGCAGTTTATTCGGTCGGACAACTCGTCTACGTAAGGAATTTCAGCAGAAGTCGGGCCTTCCATGTAAAACTTGAGTAGAAAAGGCTCTATGTTGGTTGACCAGAAGGTGTCATCTCTCTGAATACGTTGGATATCAATGCCCTTGAGAGTAAATATAACTAAATCACAAAACTTCTTTTGTGTATTGTGTAACTGCCCTTGTATTTGATAGTAGAAGCTATGGTGGTGATTTGTACTTTTCGCACCAGGCTCTTTTTTCTTATTTTTCGCCTCGTGCTCCTTTGCGGTTTAAGTATGCTTCAAGAATCTTTTGGAACGGGGACACTTTACGTCAACGAGGCCATTTGTTCCAAGTAGTCGATCAGGGAAATCTGCTAGAAATCCGTCCCCCCTTTCAAAGAATAAGCCGCACTTCTGCACAGTGCAGTTTTCCTGCTCCACGTACAGTTGTAAAGCAGCATCCTCATTGATTTTATCATATTCTGTTGCGGGTGAAGAAAGTCTTTGGGTACACGATACTTGAAACAAGTCTGGCACTGTACGTTGTGGTTCGACACCCACTAATGTCGTTGTCTTTATAGAGCATCATCATTTAATCATTACATCGTCACCTCATATTGCTCTTCATCAACAGTAAGTACGTACAATAGGCTATCGCCATGTTACAATCCAAGAATTGACAAATTGAGTTGTTCAGTCCTTTAACAAGTTTATTATTTATATAATGTTATTACGTTACATTACCTCGAGACGATCGACGTCCATTGTCGATCTTCAAATACTTATACCGGTATATAAATTAGACGCACAAGGGGGGGGGGGGGGGTCGGTGGCCGAGTGCATGGTCTAGCGCACACCAGCTCCAAGCACTTGGAGCGAAAGCTCGCCCTGCAAAAGCCATCCCGCCCCTGCCCGTTTCGATCTGGAAGAGCAGCGTACCGGCGTGCGGTCGTGTGTATCACTACTGCGTGGTGCACGTTAAAGACCCCAGGTTTGCGGTTGTACCGCACTGGCTAAATTGCTCATCTACAGCTGAGTGTCAGACGCCCACTAAGGCGGACTAACTTCCGGCTGTATAAACATACACACAACAATTTGCAATTAGACGCATAATAACAAAAAGCGCAGCGTGCTGCCTCTTTGGATGCCTCTTTTTAAACCAGCGCAAGCTCGCGCGTTCTCTCTTTTGAGACGGTTAGAACGGTCGTACATAAAACCCGCGTTTCTCCTACCCGGCCGCTTCCTCCTCTCATTATGTGTAGTTGGTTATAACTAAATAAGCTATTATAATAGTGTATTATTCATATTTATTTTCAGTTTCAGTCAGGGAGAAGAAGTTTTGCGGGAACTAGAGCAAATAAATGAGCTGCGCTTGGAGTATCGGCACTCTTTTCCCCGTCAGTGTTGTGAACGCCGCCATTCTGGTGCTTGTGCAGAGCAGGCGCAACTGCCGATCGTCATGATTTAAAAGTGCGGCATCCTCAGCATTAGCTCATGTAATGTTGCTTTGCTTTGTCGCACACTGTTTAAAGTTGAGGACGGAAAAGCGTTTCTTGTGATTTCAGATAAAGCTTCAAATAACTGGCAAACATGATTTTAAGCCACAATATGGCCAAGTGTCGCTGCTCTGACGCGTAGCTTATTTAATGACACTATTCATGCTCTTGTTCAAGAGGGTTGTAATACCTGGAGGGGCCATGACGTAAGCCCCGTGGATTCCACAAGCCACTACCTTTTGACACCTGCCTCTTCCTCATTGTTCCCACTTGTGCCAGTAATACCCTTGTTATACCCCTGTTACACGGGCACACTTAACCACGGTTAACTCAGCTTAACTGCTGTTGCGTGGCACCACAGATACCGCACTATACTCTCGGACAGCTATTCCATAAGAAGTGAAGAGCGCGCTGTAGTGATCTGTGATAAGTGATTTTGCCACCAGATGGCGCAACGTGTGTTCTGTTTAGTATGCTTTGATGGTGAGTTTATCGGGTTGTCTTATCTTGTTGTTATGTGTGTTTATGCATCTATGATGTCACGTGACATATGTTAATAAAAGAGCCGCCGTCCGTCAGCGACGTCAGAGAACTACGGGACACCCAGCAGGCAACATGTCTTTGTCTTTCTTCGCAAGCCCCGAACGCGCGGGGCCGCGGCTTCCTACCCGGCCACATCATGTGAGTGCTGTTAGCGTCCTCTCCTTTCGTACCGCCGTGTAGAGGAGATTACTACAAATTTTGGCGACGAGGTGGTTAACCGTAGTTCTCTCCGCGTCTCGGTGCACTGGCCGTGAGAGCCGACGCGATTTTTTTTTTCTTCTTCGATCCATTTCGTTTCACTTGGAACACGTTCCATGGCTAGTCAGAATGGGCCCTGACAGCTGCTTCCCTTCAGCATGCGTCTCGTGACAACGTAAGATGTGAGTTTGCACTGTTTTTGCATCGTTTCCTACAACCTTCTACAACATATATATAATGGATAATGGAACACAGCCTCCTGTAGCTGCCGGCACCTCAGCGCTCGCGCCGGTTCCATCACCGCCCGACTTCTTGCAAGATCCGGGCAAGCCCGAGCGTGCATGGCCCGCGTGGAAACGTGCTTTCTTGATGTTCCTTGAGGCGTCCGGCTTGGACAGTGTTGCGCGTAGTCGAAAAAAGGCGATCTTGTTTTCCATGCTTGGGGCTGAGGGCCAGAGAATTGTTGACGCTTTTCAGCTCGATGAGACTCCCGCTTCCGAGGAAGGCGATGTTTTTGAAGTCTTTTTGAGTGCTATCGAGAAGCACTTTGAGTTTTCTGGGTGTATCGCGCTGGAACGCCAAAAGCTTCGCACTCGCGTCCAACGCCCCGGAGAAACCGTCTGGGAGTACTTGACCGCTCTGCGACGCCAGGGGTCTTTTTGTTCTTATGGAGACGCTTTGGGAGAGAGGCTTTTTGAGGTCTTTTTGGAGGGGTTGGACTGTAAGCGGGTCCAAGACCGCATCCTTCGAGAGTGTGTGGGGACGGGGGTACCCACTTTAACCCGTGTCGCTCAGCTCGCGCTGCAGTACGAGCAACTTGTGCGCACCACAGAAAGCTTCCACCTGCGAGCTCCCAGTGCTAGCGGTGCGGCGCCGGCAGCCGTTGAGCGCGTCTTTGCGCACGTGCCCATTGGAACGCCGGACGCCCAAGATGGAGGTCCATGGCCGGCTCCTTCCCGAAGTCGGTGGCAAGATGGCCGGTCCGGCGTCACTTCCAGTCACGTGCCCCGGACTTTACAACACCAGCCACCCCAGCGTCTGCGCTACCCTCCTCCTTCAAGGCACGGAGATGAAGGAGTCGGTGTTCCCTGCAACTTCTGTGGTCGACGCGCCCACAACCGCAACGAGTGTCCAGCGTCTGGTGTGGCATGTTTTTTGTGTGGAAAGACGGGCCACTTTGCGGTGGTTTGTCGGAGTCGCCGCCCACCGTCGGCGGCCTTCGTCAGTGACCCGCGGCGAACGTCGTTCCCGAGCCGTGGCCAGGGCTCCGGCCGTTACTTCGCTGCCCGACCGTTTTCACGGAATGTGCCGTCAGGAGGTAACGATCCTGTGAACATTGTTGGGCCATCCCTGGTGCCGGAGATGCTGCCGAGCGTCCCCGTTGAGTCGGCCGAGCAAGCAGCAAGAGGTGTTTATCGTCGGGATGCCTTCATGGCCGACATCAAGGTAAATACAACCCCTCTGCTTCCCCTTGTCGACACTGGCTCTTTTGTGTCCATTCTGAATGAACGAGAGTTTAATGAAGTACAACGGAGTTCCGACATTCGACTATGTCCGCCCTCGAAAACTCTTGTTCACTACATGCAAGACACTATCCCTGTGCTTGGATGCTTCACCGCTCAAGTTGTTTTTAAGGATCGTTATGCACCGTTGGAGTTTTTTGTCACCCGGACTGGACGATCGCTACTTGGCGTCGACGCCGTCCGAGCGTTGCGCATGAGATTATCAGGAGATGAAAATGATTATGTTTGTTCGCATGTTGATGCAGCTCAGGGAGGAGGAGTTTCACGGCAGTATGTGAAGTCGGCGGTCCCCCTGCAGCGACGGCCGTTCACCATCACGTCCTGCCAAAACCGCCAAGCGGCCGGATCCAGAGATGCAAGGTCCCGGTCATCTTCTTTTGTACCTTCGGGTGCCAACGTGTCTACATCGTCATCGGTCTCGGAAGAGACCACTCCGAAAGTTCCCGCGGACTTTGACCACGATTCGTCGACAGCCGCGATTCCCCGACGCCATCCTGATAGCCATGGGCTCCATCAACCACTTCTTCCTTAAAACACAAGTCCTGAGAATACAAGCCATGAAATCACAGCACAACTGCTACACCATGAAAATATAAATGCATCTCAACTTTCAAGTCCTTTTCTTCCAGATCAGTCCAAGTTGCCCAAAGGCTTCGAAGAATTTGAACATCTCTTTAGTCCAGGTTTGGGTTTGGTCAAGAATTCCACCCATACTATCAAGCAGCGTTGCAACGTGCCACCGGTACAGTCCAAGCTGCGCCGTCTTCCGATGACCCTGAGGGATGCTGTCTCGGAAGAGATTTTCAGACTGGAGACAGAAGGTGTGATCGAGAGAGTGGATGCCTCCGAGTGGGTTTCACCTATCGTCGTCGTTCGGCGGACTGACGGACGTATCCGGATGTGTGTTGACCTCCGTGCGCCAAATCAAGCGGTAGTCATCGATTCTTTCCCGCTACCCCACATCGATAAACTACTGGGTTCCTTGCGTGGTGCCAGTTGCTTCTCCAAGCTGGACCTGGCGTCCGCTTACCACCAAGTTCGTCTCGACCCGGTGAGTCGTGATCTCACTGCTTTTATCACGCATGAGGGACTGTTCAGATTCAAGCGCGTTTGTTTCGGGTTGGCTTCGGCACCTGCAGCGTTTCAAAACATCATGTCAAAAATCCTGAAGGATTGCAAAGGCGTCCAGTTTTACCTTGATGATATAATAGTCTACGGTGCTACGCAGGCAGAACACGACGAGAATCTGCGTCAGGTCCTCTCTTGTATCTCCCGAGCCGGGATGAAGCTAAATCGTAAAGGTGTTTCTCGAGTTACAGAACTTTCGTTTCTGGGACACCATCTTTCCGCGGAAGGACTAGCACCCCTTTCCGCTAAGGTAGATGCAGTCCTGAATTTTGAAACCCCTACCGAACCAGCAAAGCTGAAAGCCTTTCTGGGACTTGTTGAATATTACAGTAAATTTATCCCTCATTGCTCATCTGTCGTAGAGCCCATGCGTCGTCTTCTCCGTAAAGGAGTTCGCTTTCACTGGTCCCCGGAAGCCGAGGCCAGTTTCCAAAATGTAAAGGCTTCCATAAAAAGTGCTCCGATTTTGTCGATGTTTGATCCAACACTTCCTATCGTTTTGGCTACGGATGCATCTAACTATGGTCGTGGGGCTGTGTTACAACAACGGTACGGAAGTCAACTGCGTCCTGTCGCTTTCGCTTCGCGCTCGTTGACTGATGCCGAGCGGAGGTATTCAACAGGTGAAAAGGAGGCGCTGGCCTGTTTGTGGGCCTGTGAGAGGTGGCATGTGTATCTGTGGGGTCGGTCATTTGTGATACGAACAGACCACCAAGCTCTAGTCACCCTGCTTTCTAGCAAGGGGTCTGGGATCCGCCCTTTGAGCATCACCTGGTGGACAGCCAGATTGCTTAATTATAATTTCACTATTGAATATCAGAAGGGATCAGCGAACCTGGTTGCCGATGCTTTTTCACGGCTACCCGTTAACGACACGGAGAATGGTGTGGAATTTACCGAGGAGGTCGTTTCTCTTATCACAGTCCCCATGTCCAAACTCGCAATTCAACAGGCTACGGCTAATGACACTATCCTTCCATCTGTAATCCGGTACACTACCACGTCCTGGCCGGAGGGTAATGACATACACACCGACTTGCGACCGTTCTTTCAAGTGCGTGAGCAACTTTCACTGTATGAAGGTATCTTGTATCGTGGAGAAAGGCTCGTGCCGCCATCAACACTCCGTGACAACATCATCCATCTTGCACACGAGACACACCAAGGAATATTACGAACAACAAGCCTCATACGTGAACACTATTGGTGGCCCCGCATGAACCAGGAGATCAAAACAAAAGTGGAAAATTGTACGGTGTGTCATTCAACTGATAAACCTGTAAAGGCCACACCCGCTCCGTTGCAGCCCATAAAGTTCCCCGACCAGCCTTGGGAAAAACTTGCTGTCGATACCGTAGGCCCTATCGACAGGGCGCCACAGAGCCAACGGTTTTTCATTGTCTTGATAGATTATCATTCGAAGTGGCCTGAGGTGCAGTCTGCCGCAGCAGTAACGTCTTCAACTGTCATTTCCTTTTTGAGAAATGTGTTTGCTCATGAAGGACTTCCCTGTGAGCTTGTTACAGACAACGGGGTACAGTTTATGTCCAAAGAAGTTCAAGACTTCCTTCGTGAAAATGGCATAAAACATTTGAAAACGTCCTTGTATCATCCACAATGTAACGGTCAGGTGGAGAGATTTAACCGTGTTCTCAAGACGTGCCTTCAGGCAGCTATAGTTCAAGGCCGTCCTCTTATAGACGCTGTTCGAGACCATCTCGAAGCGTTCCGCCGTACGGTACATCCTGCGACGGGGTTTGCCCCTTCACTTTTATTGCATGGCCGGATCCACCGGTCTAAACTAAACCTCCAAGGAATGCCTACAAGGCAGGTTCCTGATTTCGTTTTACAGCAACGTGCTCTTCTTCCCGAGAGGGTTCAAAGTTATCAACAAAACATGAAGTCATATTGGGATCACCGGAAGGCTGCCAAACGGCCACAGTTCTCCGCCGGTCAAGCCGTGCGCGTGTTCAAGCCCACACATCGTGGCAAACTTCAATCAAGGTATACACAGTCGAAAAGGGTTGAAGCCCAGCTGGGATCAGCCACGTACAGGCTCGATGATGGAAGGACCTGGAATGCAGTAAATTGACGAAGGCGTCTGCACGGCCTCGTGAGGGAGATTCCGATATCTACTCGGACGAGGAAGATTTTCGTGAACTCTCCAATAGTATTCCTTCACTTCCACTTCCAAATGTCCTCACACCATATATAGATCAAAATGATAGTATTCCTCACAGTATACCTGAAAGTCATACAGTTCCTGATCCGGGGCCACTGCTCGTCCCCGGTGCTTTTGACCCTGGGCCTCCTCAATCTCCACTGGCTGGCGAGTCTGGGCCGACGCCTGGGCAACCTGGACGTTCCTGGTGGCCCGACACCGAGCCTCCGGCTGCGCTCGGAGATTCCGTGCAGCCTGCTTCCCCAGAGGAACCAAGTCCTGGCGAACCAAGTGGGGCTCCCCAGCAGGTGGAGGTACCCTGTGACCCAGTGTTTGTGCAGTGCGACCCTTCAAGCCGTGATTTTTTTTTCGTATCCCAGCCGTCAGTGACTTTGGCAACCCCATTGGCTACTAGTACTCCCCTACGACCACAACGAAAGAAACGTCTCCCAGCAAAGTTGAAAGACTATGTCATGTCTTTCATTTCTTCAGATGACTCAAATATGGAAAGTGAACAAAATTCATTTATCGACATTGTTTAACGCATAGTTGTTGTTTTGGAGACTGTTTGGAGGTCCGTGTGGAGTGTAGTCTTCAGGTACAAGAGCTTGTTTTTGGAGATGTCTTTCCATGTGTTTCTTATATTCCTCCAAATGTCTTCAATGAGTCTTTTTTTTGCATCCTTACATAGCACTATGTCATAGCATGTAATAATGAAAATGCTTTAGGTATCCTTGGCCAAGGTAAAAAGATGTCCATGACAAACACCAACTCTTGACAACACCTAACCACTAACAATTACTAACATACACTACACCTGTGTCATGGACATCAAAACAGGAAAACAAAGGCAAACAAACTTCAGTCCAAATCTGTAGCAACTCGAGGTAGGCTATAGGGAATCGGAGACTGTGTTTGTATCTGATGTAGAAACTGTCGATGGGTTTTGTCATACTGTGGTGACATGGATGAAAAGAGCTACGGTACTGCTCAGCGTCGACCAGACGATCTGCCGTCTCATTGCCAGGAACGCCGCTGTGAGCCGATACCCGGTTCCATATGTTACAATTTTTTTAACAGACAAGGGGAGAGCGTTGTCTTTATTGTGATGAAATTCGAATTGTGTTTTGTGCTTTGTTTCCCCTGTTTCTTTTTAAAAAATTTTAAGGAGGGAAGTGTGTAGTGATCTGTGATAAGTGATTTTGCCACCAGATGGCGCAACGTGTGTTCTGTTTAGTATGCTTTGATGGTGAGTTTATCGGGTTGTCTTATCTTGTTGTTATGTGTGTTTATGCATCTATGATGTCACGTGACATATGTTAATAAAAGAGCCGCCGTCCGTCAGCGACGTCAGAGAACTACGGGACACCCAGCAGGCAACATGTCTTTGTCTCCTTCTTCGTAAGCCCCGAACGCGCGGGGCCGCGGCTTCCTACCCGGCCACATCATGTGAGTGCTGTTAGCGTCCTCTCCTTTCGTACCGCCGTGTAGAGGAGATTACTACACGCGGGTGCACTGCTTTGATGGGTGCTCAAGATGCTGCAGCGCACGTTCGACCATCGCTTTGACAGCATAGCCGCATAATGTTGTCGGGAAGTCTTGTGCGCTAACTGTGGCTTAGCGTAACCGCAGTTAAGTGTGCCCGTGTAACATTACACGGGCGCACTTAACTGCAGTTACGCTAAGCCACAATTAGCGCACAATACTGGCCGACAACATTCTCCGGCTATGCAGTCAAAGCTATGGGCGAACGTGCGCTTGAGCATCTTGAGCACACATCGAAGCAGTGCACGAGTGCTCTCCACTTCTGAAATAGCTGTCCGAGAGTATAGTGCGGTAACTGTGGTGCCACGTAACAGCAGTTAAAGCTGAGTTAACCACGGTTAAGGGTGCTCGTGTAACAGGGGTATAAATTAGCTACGGTTCAGAGTAACGACACTTGGCCATATTGTGGCTTAAAATCATGGTTGCCAGTTACCTGAAGCTTTATCTAAAATTATAGGAAACGCTTTACCGTACCCCACAAATGTTTAAACAACCCGTTACAGAGCATTGCAATATTGCATAAGCTTCATAGCACCGCATCTAATGCTGAGGAAGTCGTACTTTTGAATCATGACGATCGGCAGTTGCGTTTGCTCTGAACAAGACCCAAAATGGCGGCGTCCAAAACAATTTTGGGGGACGGAATGCCGATACCTTAAAGCTCATTTAGTGACTCTGGACATGAAGTGAACTCGGGTGTATTATTTTCCTATTTTTCTTTATTGTTTATTGATTTCAATCATATCGAATAATGAACACATTATATCACGCTACACGTGTGTAATTATTTGTCTTAGATTTATTAATCGGACCCAGTCCTTAAACCAATCATTTATCGATAGTAAATCTTCCAATATATTTTTTAAATGTGAAGGTAAAAAGACACGGAGATTGATGATGATACAGAC